CCGCGTCGGCGTCGATCTCGAAGTTGAGGTAGAGGGTGCTTTTGACGTCGGCCATGTCCAGCATCGGTGTCATCGTCAATCGTCGGTGCGTCTCCTCCTGCCTGTCGGCGCGGCCCTTCTTGTGGCCGCCTCCTCAACCATTGCCTTCTCCTGCCGGCTTGCGGTGCTTGGTCTGCTTGCCGCCCTCGCCCGCGCCCGTCGCGTCGGTCTTCCGCGTCGGCGGCCCCTTGAACCGCGGCGAAGGCCCCGCTCCGCATCCGAGCGCCATCGCGACATCCTCGGCCCCCGGCACGCGCACCAAAAGTGCGAGGGCAACATGGAAGATGCATAGCAATATGGATATGCAGATCTTCGCGGCCCGAGCCTTCAAACTCGCACAATGGGCAGGCGAACGACGATAGAGGTTTCGCCTCCCGTAATGACGATGGGCCCACGGTCTCACAGTGCCCACGGCTTATCGATCCTTGAAGATGCTTCGCAGCACTGGCGCAACATGTAAATACTTGAGAACAGTGTACACACTCATTGCCCGGTGTCAGCACACGACATAGATTCCGAATCCCATGGGCTCGTCGGAGGTGTAGCATCCGTCTCTTCGGTTCGTAAAACTCGCGTCGCACGGTTCGCCGTCTCGGAGCTCGAAAGAAAGCCAACATTTCCATGCATCGGTCTCGATCGCTGCCGACTGCTCGTCGGTCTCCGATCGTTGCGTTTCAGCTCGGACGGTCGCCGCCGCCGTGGCAGTCGGCCCCCGAGCGTTGCGTTTCAGCTCGGGCGGCGAGATGGCCACTGTAAATTGCCTGGCCCTGCACTCAACAATGTCAACAAACGTGGGGAACGACGAACTCGCTGCATCTAACGACAAACGGAAGTCGTCCGCGATCTCAGACAAATCTCCCGGCCAAGAGCCTCCGAGACGTCGGCGAGATCACCTCGCAGTTGAAATGGCCAGGGGCATGCAGACGAAGAGAGGGGCCCCGCTGCTGCAAGCGGCCCCCCTTCCTCATAGGATACTACCCCAAATAACGCGCAGAGAACTCGCCTGCGATGATTGGGTCGAAGCACCCAACTCTGTGCAAGACGGATTCGTCGGATGCGGAGCTCTAGTTGGGAACTCGCGCGCTTCCATTAGTCCAGGGAGGCCCTGTTACTGAGGGCGCGCGGGCGTTCCCCGTCCCAGTTCGCGGCTTCCCCAGCCATCGCAATTCCACAGAATCGCGCCGGGGCCATCTCCAGTTCGCTGCGCCCAACAGCCCCCAAGACGAAAGCCCCCAGACCGCTCAACAACGCTTTGACCCACAATCCCTGCGCCAAGAGGCTCTTGAACTTCCGCGAAAGGTCGAGCTGCAAGACTGAACCGAGAGACCGACGCGATGCCCAAGCAGCCGAAACTCGTCTCTCAATTTCGCGGCGGGCGCTATCTCGAGGAGCCAGATGGGGTCCCAGATATAGACCTTGGTCCCGAGCACTGCCCACCAGACCCCCCCCCCCTTTTCGAGACCTGCTCCGAGGAAACGCCGTGCGCCCCAAAGAAAAACACGAGCTCTTGCTTCGCCAGATTCTGCCCGAACCCGACTGGAGCCAACCTATTCTTCCGCAAGCGGTCGCGCTCCTGCAACTCGGCAATGAACTGCGGGAGAGCCGAATGGAAGTCTGCAAACACAATGGCGCGAATATCATCTGCGTGTTTGAGGCGGCCGAGGTCAGCCTCTAGACTCCCCCACTTGGCCGCGAACTCTGCGCTGCACGCACAGGCGCTCTCAACATCGCGTCGCCAGTCGGCGATCGGCTCCTGAAAGGTGACTTTGGACACTCGTGCGACGAGAGGATCTCCCATGAGTCCGCGCTGCCGAATTGTCATCGCAACCCTTCCTCCCTCCCCGCCAGGTAGGGCTACCGCGGCCTCTCGATGCCGAAGGGAGCGCGGTGCTCTGCCCTCTTCTTGCACGCGGCCTGGTCCGTGAACGGCCAGTTGCCGCTCGCGATGGCACTGCTCATGTCCCCGAAACAAAGCCCGCGTGATTTTCGGGGCCTATGAGAAACAACGATGGAAACAGAGATCGCGGACTCCCCCCCCCCCCCCTCCCCTCCGCGAACCCGTAGTCGGAGTCCACGGGCGTGCACTGCAGCTTCTTCGCGAAAAGAAGCCTCGCCGGGAACGGGGAGGGCGCGGGCGGCCCTCCTTCGCCTGGGGCCCACCTTGCGGCGTGGCTCTTGTAGAGGGGGGCCCCGAGACTGCAGTTTCAATGCTTTGGGGCGACTTTGCGCTGCCTCATCCTGCGCGGGCCAAGGTTGAGGAGGAACCAGAAGATCTTGTTCGGGGGCGCCTTCGCGGGGCCCCCAAGGCCACCGGTTTGTCATCTTCTCCAGTTCGGGGGGAAAGGCATGCGCCGCAACTCCCGCGGGGCGCAGAACACGGGCGCAGCTCGTCGTTCAGGAGCGTTTCTGCCGCACCTCCTCATCTGGCCTATGTCCTCCTCGACCTTCTCCTGCGCCCCCA